TAGTCAAGATCCGTTCAACATTAGACAACCTTCATGACTTGTAATTGCTATGTTTGTTGTCTATAATCCGAATTCATTTCTTGAGAACGTCTTATCTTTTGCTTGATTATACCGTTGAGTGAATTATACTTTGTCCCAATTTGTCCGTCCAATCCATCTCGCACGTCCGCCCTGTTGTTGGATCTTACGGACGTCTTTATTATTTGCACCTAACACCTACTTCGTCATTATCCATTTTTTTCCCATTTCCCATTATTTCTTTAGCTTTCTTTAGCCTTATGAATATTTCTTAATTAGTATTAATTAATTAAAATGCGACCACAATATCGCTGTCGCATTACACAAGGAAAGTGGATGAAAGTTTGTCTCAGCGTTCACCATTTCACCAGCCCGTTTCCGTATTTTGTTTGCACTATTTTGAGTTTTTGCCTTAAAAATCCATCCGTAGTCCGTCTTTTGATTCATATTGTTCAAATTGGTAAGTGCGGCAGTGAATTATGTCGTGAAATTTTCCAATGTTTGCTTTGTAGAGGAATACCTAAACTTTATCAATGACTGGCAAACGATTAGACGGGAGAAATAGGCAGTTTGTCTTGAATCTGGCTGCATATTTTCGTGCCGAGCAAGTCAATGGAGGTCCTATATTCGTCCATTGAATTGCATTTAAGAAGTAAGTTTGCATTTGAGCCTATGTGTAAGGGGACGTCCTGAAGTTAAGTCCTTATACAAATCGACTTTTCATACTATGCGATCAAAAAGAGTTGCTGTTACGTCACATTCAGAATTTTTGTTTATTTTTATTTTTTATTTTATTTTAAAAAATAAAATAAGAATTTTTGTTTACATGGGGAATCATTCTTAACTTGAACTTCCAACGGCGCGGCGACTCGACGTCAATCGTTTTTTGATCGCTCGTTATAAAAAGCACGATAATCGCGTCACGTTTATAAGCTCGCGGAATATTCGGTTCTATAGCATGAACGCTACATCTCCCATGAAAATCCATCAGCTTGTGTTTCTAGACGAAACGTGGGGTTTGCCAAATGCTCTGCGAAGCGTTCGTGATAGGATGGAACGCCGAAGGGTATGCGGTAGCGGTAGGTTAGTGCGGGTAAACGCTTCTTGATCGTGCATGCGGGTTACGAAGGTGACTTTTTTGAGGACGTATCACTGATCTTTGGATTCAACTCGCGGCGTATCACGCTGATAGTGGAACAGTGACTTGTTTCTCCAGTGGATTCAAGAGAAGCCTGTTCCGAATTTGGAGGAGCTGTCGTTGATTGTGATAGACTATATTAAAAGTAGTCGCAAAGTCAAGTCAGGAGTTTACCTGACTGACATTTAGTTTATTTGGAGAGCTTTCGGAATCACCCTAATGTCGTATAGGCGAAATATGAATACTTTTTGACCTTCTTCAGATTCTAAAACACGATAAGGCCCATCTGAACGAAAGCCAAAGGAAATCCACGTTATCGAGTACTACAGGTCTTGCCCTTTGTTCAGTTCAAAGAATAATAAATGATGGGAAAGAGGCTGCAGAATCCAACAGGGATGACATTTTACAAGACACCTATGAAACAACGTGCAACTCTTCTGTTACCCATATGGAAGATATTTTGCAAAATCATGTGGAATTCAACAAAACTATAATGAGTACCTACCGCATTACGCTGCCTACTGGTTTAAAAGAGAAACTCGCAACTGATATTGACTCGCGAGCAGAACGAACATCCTGGCAGGTACGATTGATATTCCTTTTTGTAACAAGTTGTTTGTTAAAAGTCGGTAGTCACTATGCATCTAAGATAAATGAATTTTCCATTATGAATAACTCATTTCACTTTATCATGCGGAAAGTAATGTGCGTGTTAAATTACTGGGGCGTGGATTTGATAATGAATCGCGTAAAGTAGAACAATTTCTAATTATGTGCTTCAACAATTACAGAATAATCAACAATAACTTAAACTTCTAATTCAACAAATAAATAATCACAAATATGAAAGTACCATTTTAGTACATAAACGTTCTTCTTCGTCTATTTACTGCGAAAGGTGGAGGTCTGAGGTCCAACTCAATATCTTTGGCTGCGTTTAATCGACTATTGTAATTAGGTACCTGCATTACTATTGGATCAATGAGGGATGATTGTGGCTGCATGGACTCTAAGTAATGATTGAAGTACTGGTCGAAATTTGGTTGTCGGTGGAACAAGGCTTGCTGCTCTGGATTAACTGCGACATTCTCTTGAATTTGGTGCCCGTGCAATAATGGTCGGTTTTTATTGTCACCGTGAACCGATACCACATGTTGCATAGCTTGAAGTAGACGTGTGTCGAAAGGTATTGGCAAACTTTTCGAATCGGAAGCCCCATTTTGACCATCAACCGTTAGGACCGGATTTCGTAATAAACTCGTATCAATAGGCAGTTGAGGCTTCTTATTTTCGATCGTGGTAGGTTTCTCTGTAACTTGTAATGTTGTGATGGGCAGAACCTGTACCGATTTGTACGAGGGAGCTGCGTCGATAACGGGTAGTAACCGATGCTCCTTGTGTTCGTATTTGCCATTACTATCTAAGCCATCAAAAATATCCCTGTAATTAAATCCTTGACCTTTTGCAAGAGCTCCCGTGTGATCGAAATTTCCAGCAGTGACTGACGAGGGTAGATCTTTACTGTGATAAATTTCAATTGTCGGACTCAAGTTCGTCCAAGATGTAAACGATTCTGTGGTTGGCTGAATTTGTTTCAGTGGTCGAGCGCTGGGAAGGGGTTTGGGATTTCCTAAATATGATAGGTAGGCCTGGGTTTTGGGAGCCAAATGCGGGATGAAACCACTGCCGTCATTCTCTTTGGTGTGGAATTTGTGTTTGTGTTTGATTCCAGAGATTTTTTGTTTTTTGTCCAGTAAGGCACTATTGACATAGTCCTGAGCGTCGAAGCTTGGTTTCTGGACGAGCTCCTTTAATGATCCCGTTATTATATCATCACTTGGGCGTGATTTTATGATGCTTGATTGGTGATCATGGGGCGCGCCCTTAAATCTCACGCTATATCCCACATTAAAAGCTTGCGACTGTGGCGAATCAAACACTTGCGAATTGCCCAGGTTTTGATTATTTTGATGGCCTGACGGATGGCGTGAAATTGTTTTGGTATGTGAGGAATCCAACGCTTGCTGTTTATTAGTGTGAAAATCCACAGTAATTGAGCTTTCTGCATGCTGATCTGGATTTTTGGGGTTTTGGTGTAGGACACTTGTTCTATAACTTACTGCACCGCGACGTACTCGCGCGTCATCCGCGGAAAATTGATGCATTTCAGGTACATCTCTCCTTGAAGCGGCACAAAGTGAAGTCAACATTAAAACCTGCAATAAAAATTATTGTAACACAAAATCACGGGTCACCAAAATTTCACAAATACATACAAGTAACTTCATAACTAGGCTGTTTTTGAACAATTTTTCGCAATCACTGGCGCACTATCACATAGGTTAATGACTTACAAGTGCTCTAGATGTAAGAACTAGTTGATGTTCAACATTAAAATGCGAAATTCCAATTTAATGTGATTGTATATAGTCTGTTCCCCCATTCTTCGTGGTGGGTATGTACTTACAACAGCAAATTGTTAATTAACATGAATGTAAAACACCACCAGCTTTCGGTGGACTTTCTCATACCGATCCTGCGTAAATTCTATCAAGCGTCTACGGGGCGTTGCTATTACCAATTGGCCACAAAATTCAGATTTAACAAAAATTATTGATAATGCGGTTATGTAGGAAAAATAACTAACTTTATAAACAATAACATGGATAATAACTAAGTGTAACAAAACTGTTTAAATATAAAAAATAATTGAAGCACAAACTAGAAAGTAATTTCATGTAGAAACAAAAATACCGCAACGGTTTATTGAACATGTCACATACTGATCGTAGGTACATACTGGTGTATGCATTTTCTAAATATCTACATATGGCTAAAAGTCATATACTTTGAATAACTTTCAATTTTCTTTGTCTCCGTACATCACTGCGTATGAAATGAAACTCGCTTCCAAACACTTTCGGTTTTCACTTAACGCCACATCGAGGATGTTATTAATTACAATAAAATTGTAAATTGGCAACTAAAAGCTTGCTTGTCTTCTAAGCGAGAAATGTAGGTAATTGAGTATAGATGTAAAACTAAAGCCTTACGGCTACTTTAATTTACCTGGGCATTTTTTTTTGCTATCAGAAAACGTACAAAACAAACTCTACTTTCTTGTGGAATCATTTCATTTCACTCTTTTTACTTACAGCTAGTGTAATTATAGATGGGGCCATTTTTTCAAAGATATATGTTCAATGAGTACACAAACCAATGTTGTGTAAACAACTTGAGGTGCAAAAACTGATTTGGCAACGCACTGATGCCCATAAAATGAAATTTCTGCATCTTTCATGCGTGATTAGCCAAAAAATGACCGAAATACTACTTTTAATCACTATCGCATGAGATGTAATGATTTTACTTTTGGCGAAACACGATCACTTATAAATCGCTTTGTCATAATTTCAATACAGTGGAATTTTTTGGTAGTGAAATTAAACATGCTCCATTAACTTAGAGAATTTCTAGGCTGTGCCATCCGAACGCAGCAGCAAACATTCCAAATTCCAAAAATGAAGATGACATTGATAAAAATGACAGTTTTAGTAAAAGTGGACGCAACTAAATGAAGCGCATCATTCTCGTTACTTTCTTTATGAAAAGTGAAATTGTTATTACGTCTCAAAATCCGCATGTGTTAGACATGAATTGCAATAATAGTCGTCTTCTACGTAAGTGTAAGTAAATCGATGTGAAATAATTGTATATTAGAAATGGCAGTGAATAGATTCTTCTCTAAAAATTTCTTCCTCAGACTGTTTTCGCTTATTCTAATTAAGGCAAATGATAGGAATAGCGTTCGCTCATGCATTATGTATCCATTATAGGCACTTACCGTAGGGAATCTCAAGTTATCCATTTGTGGACATTATGGAAAATTAACCAATTAGCCGCCAGCTGCAAACCCTTTACTAGATACTTTTTTAAAATTCTATTTTACGGTGCATTACAGTTGGTTTTGCGGTAAATTGAAGACCAATTATAAGAGGAACGCACCTCAAGCATTTCAATTATAATACCAGTATCAAACTGCTACGTAAGTAAGATTCAAAGAAATATGCTAAAACTGCACATAAAATTTTTTAATCCAGTGCAAACACAGGTAGGTACATACGTACATTATTAGAAATGTGTGGTTGGTTAACGGTGTACGTTTGGTTAACTTAAAATCACAAACAAATTCTCATTTTTTGAGAGGTAATTAGGCAAACAGGGACAAATTAACTTCCCTGTGCTCCATCACCAAACAGGTCAAGTTGAGGGTGAAAATCTGAAATCAAAAACAGCTTAAATTTGCACCAGAGATTGGCGCATATACTGGAGTTTAGCCATGAGTAAAAAGTTCCATGCATTTGCATGTTTTCTGCATTCCACAAACTTACAAGTTAATTTTGGTTCTGTTTTTAGGCTAACAACTGACGTTTAAAATATGCGATATGTTTGCCTTTACTAGAACCATCATTTCAAAAAAATTTCTATAAAATCAGTTTGCGCATGTGCACATTAATCGTCCAGATTTTTCTTGGTTGAGATGCCATCGAGAGTATAACTACTTAAAAATCCTTCGCAGCCGACGGACCGACCGAACAACCAAAGAGCTAGCCTGACCCCCAACATATTTACAATTTACATGTAACGATATATTAAAATCCAAACCGCTGCTATTAGAATCATTTTTTGGTCGCGGCGGTCTGGTCATACTAAATGCAACCCATACTGTTTTATCCCTGTTTAATTGTAAGCAGTTATTTTTTGGCCACATGATAGTGTACCATACATGTTGTTTGCATCCTGTATTGTTTCGGAGTCTTTCCTATGATTAATAGGTTTATATCATCTGCGTACCAAACTAAACAAACGGTTTGGTCAGCTAAGTCATTAGAATAACAAATAACAACGGCCCCAACACTGGACCGTGTGGAACGCAGATGATTGTTTATCTAAAAGTAGTAACAATTAAGTTCTGGTAATGTGCCGATAGTGGGTTCTTGCACTTCACAAAACCATGCTGAGTAGATGATAACAGTTTATTTTAAACAAAATATTTCATCAATTTTTCACCAATATCAGACTCGTAGATCTGCGAAAAAGTGGAGAGCTAATAGCTCTATAGTTACTGTAGTCCCCCCCCCCCCCCGGTCATAAATTCCCTTTTACAACCTGCACACAAGATTGTGTAGAGTCGTCTCCGTGAGCATACCGACTCTGTAAGCATGGAGGATGGATGTAGTGGCCTAAGGACCAAAATACCAGTACCCCGCTCCTTATGCATCCACCTTCTTCTCCACCAATTTTAGAAGAAACGATGATAGGCTGATGGGCGTGTAATTCTTCATGTCATATTTGGCACGACCCGGCTTAGGTAGGTACACAACTCCGGCGTTCGGGGATATACGCTAAAACCAGGGATGCTCTCCAAAGAGATGCAACAAGTGTAAGAGCAGCGGCTCCCGGCCCTTTTGCAGAAGAGCCGTCCGATCCTGTACTCTTAAATGGGCTGAACGCATTTTCCGCCCATCGTTCCCTAGGTAACCACCCGGGCAGCTATTTTCCAGTCGATGGCCTTACACCGACTTTGCTTGCTTTGGTTGGTAGGGTAACAGGCAGTGGAAATCCTGCAAAACTTTATCTTATTGTTAAGTACATTTGAACACTAATTTATATAGAAACAAATGTATCTACGTATGTACGAGTATATCTCTTAAATAAGTTTAATTGAAACATGACAAACCGGTCCTAATTAATGCTCTTACCTAAGAGTAATCGGTTAAAGATTTCATGTGTCAAATTTCTAAAATTAACATGTATACAACTAAATACAAAAATACAATAGTTTTGTCTATTGGCTTTTTCTCTAGTATTTTCCATACATTTCCTTTTATTTTATTATCGTATCGAACACCGGCTTTAAGTTCATGAAAAATGCCATCACTAATCCTCCCTATAGTTCGTTTTCCACCAGCCCATGTTGTGGAATATATACAGTTCCTGTTCTTACTTTAAATCCAATTTGTGTTTCACCGAGTATCTCCTTTGTTTGTATTTGCCGGATAATATTGTAATTTCTGCATGAATATCTTGATTTATTAGTCTTCCGCCCTCTATTTATTACTCTCCGTTAGGGAACGCAATACCGGGATCGCGTGATCTCGAAATACCAGGATTTTACTGCGGGATTGCATTCCCTAGCTGTAACTTTTGAACTAGTAGCCCAATATTGGAACTGTTTCAAATTATGGATTCTACAGGCCACGTTCTATAAGAAAAATTTTTTCCGGGTCGATCTGAGACAATTTTTTTGTTCGGGGCAAAAAAAAGCAGTGTATAACCTTATTTTTTTCCAAAAATCGACTGCACCAAAATTTCTCGGGAAAACACTTTTCCTTATTAATTTTGGTGCGTAGAATCCAAAACAATCCCAATCTTGGAACTGTTTGAAATTATGGATTCTACAGGCCACGTTCTATAAGAAAAATTTTTTCCGGGTCGATCTGAGACAATTTTTTTGTTCGGGGCAAAAAAAAGCAGTTCTTCTTTTTTTCGACTGCACCAAAATTTCTCGGGAAAACACTTTTTCTTATTAATTTTGGTGCGTAGAATCCAAAACAATTCGTACTTTTTCGATCAGACTTCTCAATCAAAAGTTATAGACTAGAAACCAATTTCGAAAGAAAATTCAAAGGGCTGTAACTAGGGAATGCAATACCGGGATCGCGGGATCTCGAAATACCGGGATCTCGCAGCATTTTTGCGGGATTCATCCCGCACATAAATGGAGAGATTTGCGGGACTGAGGAATTTGTCGACCAAGGGTACGACTCCTTTTGAATATAACGGACTGTATGCGAGCAGCTGAACGTCATTGATTATTTCCATTTTATGTTATACGTTATCTTTATACATGACGTACAATGAACGTATAGCAAAATCATGCTAGCGTTGGAGAATAATCTACTGTTAACATGTTTGTGTCGTACACCATGCAGAATTTTGATCGTAGGGTTTAAAACTAATCGAGTCAGAAATATTTAAAGTCATCATAACGTGGAATTCACGCCATAAATCAATGACCGATTTAATCCATCTTGAACTGTGTCAGAAGTGGGATCCTTTTAGTAGTAGTGTGCTCGGGATGACGCGATCTATACGTGTGGAATCCTGACGGAAACTAATTCCTTCCGAAAGATCAATTACTTCCTTTCCTTAAACTAATTTTGGACGAACCTGAGAGTTTCAAATGAGTAATACAATATGAGATAGCAAGGAAAATTGCAACTTCAGTAGATTTTAATTTCAGATGCAATTATAGAATACATTAGATATAGTTGCCTTTTGTATACATCCGTGTATTGTACAGAATCGTGGATAGAGTGTTACAGGTAATCTTAAAAACAAGGATTCATGTATTATATAAAAAAAGTGCCGAACTTCAGTGTACTTCAAAATATTACCTGATCTATATCATATAAATACAAAATAATGTCAATTTCACAAAAGACAGCAATTAGGGGAGCGAAGAGCGGCTAGAAGTTTCTTCAAGTTGATGCAATCCTCTTCAGTTTTATAAATACCACACATTCACTATAAAAGGATCACTAATTTGTGCAATACCAAATGTTAAATTTAAATTTTTCTAATAATTTCCATTTGAACTCAATTGCGACAATTTTCATCACTTATGCATCAGATACACGAAAAACAACTCTAGTTTATTGATGACATTCTAAACAAGGTACAATAACACAGTCAACAAATTTTCCACGGCATTTCCGTAAGCCTCCGGCAATGTCGACAATTTGGCTTCCTAGTAAGTACGAGTATACCATTACATTATAGGTTTTATGTACATTTTTTTTGGAGTAGATTACAACTACTACGTCTTTTTTTCCTGGGACACTGACTTTTCCAATTTACTTCGTTTTGTTTTGACCGATTCTCTTGCCAAATGCGCATGGTAGTTGTAGGGTGTTTTCGTTGAAGATTGTGCTTCCTCCGGTGGTAAATAACTTCCACTGCTCGAATAATCTTCATTGGACTCGTACTGTTGGCTGTTGCTTTGGTAATACTCTTGCTGCTGCGGATTTTGATACACGTACGAATACTGTGGTTGGACGTTGTTATCGTAAACGTACTGCACATCATTCGGCTCGTTGTTTGCGTATCCGGGTTGAGGCGCCACATAAGTTGGATACGAGACGCTTTTGTAAGTGGACAAGCCAGTAGTTTGGGGATGACTTGGTGAAGCATAAATTTGCGTGTGGCGTTGACTGGGATAGTTTGCATATGTGGAGGGATTCGAGTGAGTTTGATAATTTGGGACATACGAGTACGTTTGCTGGTAATGCTGTTGATTATAAACTGGTTGATAGGATTGCTGTTGGGATTGGAGGTATTGCTGTACATAATTCTGTAAGTAAGCCTGCAGATTAATATTGTTCAGATCCGAGTATGGACTAGATTGGGGCAAATTAGTGTGCAGCGCTGTCCCTGGATTTTCAAGTTGATTAGAATACACTCTTAATATAATTACTGGGACTAGGTTGGAACGTCCCGCGTTTGCGTAAGGAATTTGGTTTGATACGCCACCTAAGCCGTGTTGGTCGTATGTCGTATATAACGTATTCTTCGGATTATAATACTGTGTTACCGGCTGTTGTGGAATATATGTGGAGGCCGGCGCTTTTCCTGTCAATGGAAGCTTACTATCTAAGTGAGAGGCGACTGTCTGCAATTTATACCCGATGCTTTTTTGAATATCGCTGTATTGAACGGATGTACTATCCTGCGCCGATGGGGTAATGTCTTCTTGCGAGTATTTATAAATAACAAATTTTTTGCCAGGCTGTGAATGTTGCAGACCATACGAATTAGAATGCCCATGATATCCATAGCCCAAAGATGAGTCAATAGTTCTCTTTGGATTACTCTTTCCTGTGGCATTCTGTTCAGGTTCGTCGACTATCTCAAACGCAATAATTGCCGGAACTTCTTTCTTTGATCCTGACTTCGAAGTATCCTTTACAAGTTTGTTTTCCTTCGAATCATCTATGCTTTTTTTTACAGCGGCCGCATTGATTTGAAATGTTGACACGAGGACCATCTGCAACAAATAAACGAGTATTTTACTTGCGAAATCTAGCATTTCAGTTGCTGTTTTCATAGTTAATAACGTTTATTACATCATTTTTGCATAAAATAAACGGACTTGAACTTTGGCACTATGACGGTGTATCAAACGGTAGCTTGAGAATGTGCGGTTCGGGAATTTCAAAGGCAAAATTAGTTCAAATGAAGCTCAAACGGCCGCTTTCACCACCTGTATTCTTGAAATGGTCGCTTGACACATTCGCAATTTAAATAGTAAAGTGCAAATTGGAAACAAACAATCTTATAGTTGTCGTAAAGTTACGACTGGTACGATATGATAAAGATAATAATGTCAGTTTAATTTTAACATCCTCGTAAAAAATAACTGAGTAGAAATGAGTATTTAAAAATATGCTAAGGAAGCTATGGGGTAAATACAAAAAATATACAGGGTGGGCAATTAGTCTGTGGGTGCAAGATTGTAGGTTTATTAACGCACGTATTTAAAATTCATTGTCGGGGCATGATGAAGGACTCTTAAGGCTACAACCTAAAATATTTTCAACGAAATTGCAATTGTTACACAGGGTGATTTATATCAAATATGTATTACCTACAGGTGATAACTAAAATCAGTCGTTTAGCCGCAATTCGTCATTCATTCAAAAAGTAGATGTCCAGTAAAAATGGAATATCGCAGTTATCAGAAATCTAAGAAGGCCGTGACTTTGCAGTGTTACTAATCATGGAAAATGTACTAACATACGCCGAACGATCACTCGGTTAATTTTCAAAATTTTAATCAAAGGTAACTTGATTTTTGTAAATGGAACTACCCAGTTTTTTTTATTGCATAAAATGTTGGATTTTGTTACCTTTCTAACGATATAGAATGTCGGTATTTATCTTTTACATATTTTTTGTAATTCAACAATTTTTAATAAGTTATATTGTTTTTCGGTTTTCAAAGCCTCCTAGTAATTAGTAGGCTGTTAAAAATTATAAACAAAACAAAACAAAAACTCTTTCATGTATTTCGTAGCTAATCTTAAAAGTCATGAAAATTCGTATTTTTAAATTAAAAAATAAATTACTATTAAATCAAAATAAAATGGAATAGCATCTGTTAGTTTGGTCCATTGGCATTTGCAATTCTTTTGTTGATTGTTGATTAGTTAACTATGTTAGTAAAATGAAATTTACACGGTGCTCTTTACTATGAATTTTTAAAGTATCAATTTTTTGCTCTTCTACAAAATGTTCCGGTGCACATTGTAGAACAAAAATGTGGTTTCTGCAGGATGGTGCCAAACTAACACATACTATGCCATTGTATTTTGATTTAATATTTTATGGATTTTCATAGCTTACTATTCAAATTGATTTATTTAACCTTACGCATTGGTTTAAATGCAAAGTTTATTATTTTATTTTTAAAATTAGCTATGAAATACATAAAAGAGTTTTTGTTTTGTTTTGATTATAAATTTCAACAGCCTACTAATTCACAAGGTTCTTTAACAATCGAAAAACACTGTGGCTTAATAGAAATTATTGAATTACAAAAAATATGTAAAAGATAAATACCGACATGCTTATATGGTTAGAAAAGTAATAAAATCCTACATTTTATCCAATAAAAAAACGTGGTACTTCCATTTAAAAAAATCAAGTTACCTTTGATTGAAATTTTGAAAATTGACGGAGGGATTTCTTTTAACACAAAAAAAGTATAACTTTACCCGTTCGGTATACATTTCATGTAACGCTGCAAAGTAATGGTCTTCTAAGAATATTGAATTTTTACTGGACATCTACTTTTTAAAAAAATGAGGAATTGCGGCTAAACGACTCATTTTAGATATCATGTGTAATACATAAAGTTACACTAAAATTGAACAAGGAATCGAAATATGTAATAATATACAGGGGGTTTAATTAAAAAAATGCTACTTTGATATAAATCACCCTGTATAACAATTGCATTTTCATTAAAAATATTTTTAGGTTGTAGCCTTTAGAGTCCTTCAACATGCCCCGACAATGAATTTTAAATATGTGCGTTAATAAACCCACAATCATCCACCCACACACTAATGGCCCACCCTGTATGAAAAATATATTGAAAAATTTGTTAGGTATATTTTATAGCTTTCCACAGTATTCGCAATGGCTATATACTGCGTACACACCCGCGAAAATAATCGAGTGCTGATGAAAGCAGTCGTTCGGGGGTATTTAGGTAGAAATATTAACGTTGAACGAATTTGGGAGAATTCCGACGAAACCATTCGGCTGAACACGGGCCTTAATACATATCATTTTTTGCGTGATATACTCTTTTATCACATATACAAGAACAACTTTCAAACTTCCTCCGCCCTGACAAGGGAGCGGAAAGCAAATAATCGAAATGCCCACAAAACTGTCACCACCATTCAGATATCCAAAAGAAATATCACTGGGACCCGGCCTAAAACGATCATCCATAAAAAAAGCTACTTTGATCTCTCCGATGATGATCGGACAAATCGCTAGTCACACGTTTTAAGCCTATAAGTTTATTATCAACGCTTTCAAAATTATTCGAAAAAGCTTTTCAAACACTACTAGAGGATCAGCTTCGGAGAAAAACACTATCCCTTCATGTCAATTCCTAGATTTTATATTTATTATTTGAGCTGCGAAGTCAACTAAGTTACCAAATATGTTTTTCAGAAATTACAACGCTCAAATCAAAAAATAATTGAGCATCGAGCAATTGAGGTATTCTAGAAAACAATATTTTTTTAATGGGACGCCCTGTATATTTATAAACACCCGAAATGTGAAGGGTTGGTTACACTTTGTGCTACGTAGTGCCCTAGGACGAAAACGATCTTAGCTTTATCCTAAGAATATCAAAAAACAATCGCCGAATCCATTCAAAATGTTGTAATAGAATGCAACTGAAAAATTATGCGAGTATAAACATTCAAATACATTGACTTAAACAATAAAAAAAACTCAACCATGGAAGAAGAATAAGATACATGCAGGGACGAGCAAGAGCCAGATAAAAAAATTACACTCAGTCCTGTAGAATGGGGATGAAAGCATATGAAGATTAATAAAAGTAAAGCCAGTGGAGTCATTTATGTTAATTTCTATGGAATTCGCTTTATAGCTATGTTCTTAATTAGTTGCGAGTAGCTCAGGCTGTCGCCCTGATAAAAAATGGCTACTCTTAATCATCTTTCAAGAGAGCAGACCGATCGTATGCTCTTAGTAAAACCTATTTTATTTTGTTTAGGGTTCAGTGTCAGAAAATGAAACCAGATATCCGGGAACAAGTGATTAATTGCTACTTTTGGTGGGTTTATGCAATCATTATCATTAGTTCACTATCAAGTCATTAAGAATAAGTAGCCAATAGAAATAAAGGTTTATTGGGCGTTGCTAGCCAACAGCATGAACTTCGTGAACTAAAGAGATTTGTATAAACCCACAATGAATTCCTACTTCTAGATTATCGGTATAATAAGGAATATTAAGTCTTTTAAAATGCAAATGGGTATATTTTACACCTGTAACCTTTGTTTACAAATTCAAGCCGATGACCGCAGTCGAGTAGAATGCTACTAAAGTTAACATCAGTAGTAGTAACGTAATAGTGTAATCCATCAATGCTCAGAAGTGCCAATTCAGCAAAACGCGAAGCGCTCAAATTTAAATGTAAAAAACAAAACGGGGTTCTTGGGAAAACTGACTTGAAGTGTGTCCAAACGTTTTCAGATAGTTCATCTACAACTACCCGAACTTATCTGTTTTTTTGTGTTTAGTACACAGCTGCGAATTTGAAAATAATTTTTTTTCTCGTTGTGGTCGAGGTGGAGAAGAGAGAGGAGTATTGGTTTAGCTTTAGATGAAAGGATAAGCAATACCAACATCGTTTTTGAGTACGTCCCGTACATTGGATATAAAGAAGAGAGGGGTTTCATAGCCTGCCATATAGATACAAGGTGCGTGGTGGATGGGGTCGGGGAAAGGACGAAGGGTAAGGCTTTTTTTAGCGAAAGCAAGCGATGTTATAAGCGAAGCGAGAACAAAGATGGCTCGCCGTCCGAAGACTTCAAGTCTCAAGAGGTTGTTGAATGTAGAAAACTAAACAAAGGACCTGGTCCATAGAACACGCAACACCTAGAAAACGGCGAGAGGAGGTCTGCGAAACATTAAAGAGACCAAAGAACGGTAAAGAGACTTCTCCTTGAGGCTAAATATTACGTCTTGCGCCATAAAAGCTTCATTATGCTTTCGTTACATAAATAATTATTACGTTACCAGTCACCATACACTCGACATGGTTTTTTAAAGTAAAGTAAAACTAATATGTTGTCTCTGGAGGAAAGGCGCCTTTTCATTCATCCCCAAAAAACCAAGTTTTATTAAAATGACATTATAAAAAATAAAAATGATAGTAGTTGGCACGTTTATTTTGTTAGCACATATAATACCAAGTTGGTAATTATAATCAACTTCACTTAACATTTGCGGACAAAAAAAGCAACACCTCAAAGGTGAACTTATTAGTAAAGTCATTTGCATTTTGTCTGTTAAACTAGAAACTTGTACGAGGGTGAGCTGCCATCATGAGCACCTCAATCACTTTTGCGAGATTGAACGCGAAAGCTGCTAATTACTAAACTACCGTTTGCTTTAATTACCACGACAAATTGAGAATTTAACATATATAAGTGTAGAACAATTTTCATCAGTTCCTCACAAACAATAATAATGCCATGCATACTGATGCCGTGTTGTCCGTACATGCAAATGACAGGAAGTAATCTACTTCTTTTATTATTGTTATTACCGATTCGTATATGCAGAGATTGTCTACCTAAATTTATTAATCGATCCATAGGAAAATATATGGAAAGTGAAATTAAAAGTTCTTCAAAATAATCTTATTTTTAATGTAGCATATGCTCAACTTTCTCCCATTTGAAACACGTAATACTTTCTACGAGGAATTTACTGCAATCTAAAGCAAGCATATATCTTAACCTTTGACCTTAATCGAATCGATGGGCTCAGATAACTTATTATGTCCGAAATTCGAACGGAAAAATAGGCTGTGTAGGTGTAAAACACGCCACGTTAATTTTGGCGTGTTAATTGAATTGGAGCACTTAACATAATAAACTAATCAAACTCACTGGGTTACTTTCTTTTACGTACGTTTTAACCAAATTAACCGCACACTTAAAGTAATAAAATG